GAGAATATTAATCAATAGTTTGTGATGTTTGTCCAAGTCAATCCTCTACTCCTGTTAGCTTGTCCCTGGTTTGCCTACAACGTAGAGGATACATATTGCAAATAATGAAAACCTTCATCCTGCATTTACCAAGTGCATAAGGCAACAAACATGAGAGTGGGGAGGGAACAGATCATCATTTAGTAAGATAGCTTGGAGTGCATGAACCTGTTTACTTAGTTTCAGTCCCAGTCTCCCAGTTTATATTATATTAAACACAGTGAGATAGATGGAGAGAAAAGTGGGCAGAACACAATGTGGCTATTCCTCCTGTCCACTCCCATTTGTTCCCCACACTTTTTTTTTGACAGGAATACACAACAAAGCAAACAGGAGTGGGTTTGTACCTCCAAGCTCTGGACTTACAACAGTTGAGTAGTGGGGTTGATCATGACTTCCCTTCCTCATCTTCCTGGAGACAGCAGTATCCATAGGCCAAGAGGCCCCAAGAATGCCTACAACCCACTCCCTCCTACCTAAAGGCCCCAGGCTGGCAAGGTTGTGAGCATCCTCAACTCCTACCAAAGGCAGTATATGGAAACAATAGCCAGTGAAGGCACTCACTCATTATAGGATCCAGTTCAAAGTAGAGCTATGACTATTTGGAGACAAGATGGATTTCAGACAGGTAACTGTGCTCGTGATGTCTGACAACCAGGACACCATATGAGGCTTTGGCTGAGAAAGTCTCACACAACAAGATATTGTTCCATATTCAATTCTGAAAGTTCACTTATTCAGAATATTGTCTTAGGCTAGGTCTAGTCTGCAGGCTTCTTTTGGAAAAAGCTTTTCTGGAAGAGATCTTCCAGAAAAAATTCTTCCGAAAGAGCGCACGGACACTGCCAAAGCACATTGAAAAAGCGATCTATTTTTTTGAAAGATAGTATCCACACTGAATGGACACAGTCTCACATTTCAGCTGTGATTACTGTGGATGGAGTGGCCACCAGGGCACCTGTGCTTTTTCCTCCTTCCTGTACTTCCAAAAGAACTCCCTCTTCCCCATCCATACAGGCCTTTTTCTGAAAGCTCTTTTGGAAAAAGGCTTCTTCCTAATAGAATAAGGAATACCAATGTCAGAAAAAACTCTCTGTTCTTTCAATTTTCTTTTGGAAGAACATGATTGCAGTGTGGACGTAATTGAAGGGTTTTTTTGGAAAAACGGGCCGTTTTCCGAAAAAAACTCTTTAATTTAGACATACCCTTAGATTCCTCTAGAGTGACGTTACTTTTGAAGAAAAGCTTCAAACATGCTACAAGCCCCTGGTATTGATACTTCTATGATTTTTTCAGCTTCTTTCTTTGCTCTCAAATCTATCGTCTCTACTGAAGACTATAGAGGCAGAAGCACACTCTTTTTTTTCAAAGAACTTCACAATCAGAGGCAGTTTTAGAAAAGGAAGTCTGCCCTATTTCCCACTCAAGTTCTTGAAGGATACAGCTCTCTGAATCTTCTTCCTACTTTATCCTCAACTGTAACCTGCACTTTTTGAAGAACAAATTCAACCACAGTCCTATATGCTCCCATTGTGTCTCCAAAGGGTTCCTCAGCAGTTGCTATGTAGTTGAAATAACAGGTAAATAATGAATTCTCCAGTTATTAATTCTCAGAGGGCCAATTCCTAAATGTACTGGATTCAATGAACGATTTGACCCTGAATTCAATAGGCTCAGATTTTGTCCCATAAAAATAGGTATAAAAAACAGAAAATAGACAGGCCCTACCTAATATATCCTACAGCCAATGCAGCATTATTTCCTGTACAATATATATGTTTTCTAATTCTATGTCAAGTTCAGTTTTAATTGACTCCAGAAATGAAGTTTCCATTGGGAGAAAGTAGCATAGTCAATTTATCACATGCTGGTGTCCATTTGCCCACTTGTCTTGGTTTTCCCTGCTGTGTCTTGGTTTTCCCTGCTTTGGATTGTTAGTTCTCGGCTTTGCATCATTATTTCTCTTCAGGTCTATCATTCTTCTAGTGGTTGATGAATTTGGTGTGATTTGTCCCTCCAGCTTAGCCATCAATCCCCACTTCCAAGATAAACAGAAGAGTCCAAACAAAACACATGGCCTAGTCTTGTCATCGTCTGTCAGAGGCTACAATGGCCTTTCCAGCCCTCTCTAAGCACACACTGTTTTCCCTTTGGCAGTAGCAGTTTAGTCCTTGGTCTCTCAATTAAAGAGTTCCCCTTGCCTCCAGAGTTGAAATTCTGTCTCCTTCAGCATCCTCCTAAGGCTTACAGCAGTTCTCAGACCTTTCTCCAAGTTTGAGCAATCCCTCAGCCCTTGATACAGGTCTCTGCTGATACTGTCTCCTCTTAGTGCAGAGATTCCTCACAAGTCACTCTCAAGGGTACAGCCAATACATTGCCCTTGTTCAGAGTAGCGATATATGGAATTTTATTAAAGCTTCTGGAGAGTCAAGTGATTACACCAAATCTCAGCTCTTTTGTTTGTTTGCTTTGTTGTACAGTAAAGTAAGTTTCTAGCCCTCATGGTTATGGAGAACAGCTAAAAAACTTGATGTTTAAAGACTCAATATAAAAATCAGAAATGGTTCTGTAAAATGTTTTAATTATTATTTAAGACTTTTAAGGCAGTATTATGGTTTCTGGGTTCCTGTATCACTGATTTTGAACACTTGGGGTTGGCAATACTGTATAATTGGGGTATATTAGAGCCTGGTCTCTTCTGTTACCCTAGGCTCCACTCCTGAGGCCTGAAATAATGAAAAATACATTTTCTCCAGGCTCAATATTCTCTATGAGTTACTTCCTTTATGGGTTGGTCAACCCTTCTCTCAAGTCCTTACCCAGGCTTTCCCCAGTTTACTCCTAGCTAAGACCTTTATAGGCAGGGGTGGATGAGAGTTTTGTGGGGCCCAGGGCAGCACAATTTCTCCAGGCCCCACTTTGGAGAAAAAAATAGAAAAAGGCGTAAAATGCACAAATTGAAGGCTATTTTCATATTAAATGTGAATTGGGTAAAGTTGATAGAAAATTTAGTTGGATATTTTTTATTCTAATTATATTGTAATTAATTTTTAAACAAAATTCTGCATTAATAAACAAAAGGGGGGGATGTCCAAATGTTGAGCAAAAAAAGTGCCTTCCACCCCCCAAAAAATAATCCTGGCACCTTTAAATCTCACACTCCCCATCCTCATTCATGGCAGGGCAAGAATGTCCCAACTGGCTTTCCAGCTGAGAAAAACTGAAAATACCAGACATTTTACTGGTCTGGTATTTTCTGGGGGTTTACCACCTGACAGAAGCCACAAATACTGGACTGTCAGGGCCAATACCAGACACCTGGCAACCCTAGTCATAACTTGAGCCTGCATTTACAACAGGCCAAGGAGGTAAGTTGGGGGATTTTGGCCTCTTCCCCGCTTTGGAAAAAGGTCATAATGGTGGTGGCGGGGGAAGGATCGTAAAGCGGGCTGTTATAAAGCAGGGGCTTCCTGTATTTGTGACAGGAGTGGGAAACCTCTCTTGGGTTAGGGGACACTGACCCTACAGAAAAATCAGCTGGGGACCACACAAGTGGGCTGGGGACCAGCAGGCCTGGAGCGGATCTGGCCAGGGGTTTGGACTGTGCCCCAAGGCAGGGAATTTGGGTGCAGGGTCTGGGAAGAGGGTTATGTAGGTGAAGATATTGGAGTAGGAGTGGCTGGGGGGGCCGGACACTTACCTAAAAGTGCTGCTTGCCTGTTTCTCCCACAGGAGCTATCTGGCCATGTGCTCGGGGATTAAAAGCCTGAGGGGAGCATTGATTGGTGGGTTGCTGCAGCTGCCATTGTCCAGGTCCGGCCAATGGGCTTGTGCGGGGCGGGGGGAAGCGGCCATGGGGGACCCTCCCCTGCCAGCTTGCAGCTCCTGCACCACAAAGGGCCCCGTCATGCTGTTCTGCTCTGCGTGGGGGTGGGGCTGTTGCTGCCTCGCGGCCAGACCCGACCAGTGCGGGGTTTGCTCTGGCCGCTGCTGCGCCTGCGCGGGCTGCCTGCTGTGGTGGGGGTGGGGCTCGAGCTTCCAAAGCGCCACGTCTGGCTCCCTCGTGGGCCCCAGGCTGCCGACCCCGCTCTAAGCAGGGCGGATGGCCCAGCTCGCCCTGCGGTGCCGGCGCGGGGCCTATTAAAGCGCAGGGTCTGGGGCAGCCGCCCAGCTCGCCCTGCCCTATATCCGCCACTGCTTATAGGGGTGTGTTCCTAAGCCTCAGGCCTGATCACTGTGGCAACCCTCAACCCAACTGTCATCTCTCAGATTGAGAGACAGACCACTTTCTTATCACCACTCCTACTAGCTGTTACCTGACCGATTGCCACTCCTGCTAGCCATCACCTGACTGAGTTATGTGTGATTCTTCCTGCTTACAAGCTCCTTCTGCTGTTATACTTCACTGGGGTGTCCCAGACTCAGGCCCATGATTCAAGCGAAACCAAGATACGAAGCTGGGCCCAGACTCCTTTCAAGGGGCATCTCATTCTGCGATAGAGACTATTTCACTGTCTGATCATTCTCGCTATTAGAAATACTCCTTAGCAAATACTTTACAATGTTTAGCTGATTTGGTGAATTTTACCTCATGAAAGAATATTCATGAAAACATCAGTTTCCTCAAATCAATCATGAATTCATTTTAACTATTTTACCATATTTTTACTCATTTTGTCTATTCTAAGGCTTGCTAGCTAAAATTCAAACTAGGAGTTATGTTGCTTCACTATGATCACGTCACATTATATTGTTTCTATTCATACGGGTGGAATGTAACTCACCATTTGCCTTTGAAAATGCTCATTGAAAGCAATTTTTTTTTTTTAATAATTGTTTCCCACAAACATTTGAATGTACAAGATAAAAAACATGCTTTGCAGGAAATATTTATGTTAGTGAAACTCAGCCGATGGTAAATGATCACAAAAGGTCCCAGAACACAAATGAAGAGTATTTGTAGGAACATTGAAATTTTCTTTTTTTTCTCTCTTTTTCTTTTTGAAGTATATGCCTGGCAATAAATAGTTTTCCCCTCATTTTTCTTTCTTTAGTTTTATTCCATCACTCCTACACTTGGGCAGAATTAAATAATTCATTCAATATGTCCTTGATGTTATGCCTTTCAGATGTTTTTCTTATCTGCACCATTCTCTGAGATTGTACTTATTGATGTGGAAAATGGGATCATGTACACGGATTAGTATGGAAATACTTGATAGGTGTGTGTTCCCATACACTTTCTCTATGAAAGTACATCATTTCAAGTGTACAGGGCTAAATTTCAGCCATGACAAATCCTATTATGGTCCTCTTACAAAAGCTTGACCTCAGTGGTTTGAGAAACTGAGGCACAAAGCAACTAAGTGATTTTTCCCAGCTCACACAGGCTCTCTCTAGAAGAGCTAGGAAATGAATCTGAACTTCCTGTGTCTTAACACAGTATTGCAACAAAAAGGATCATTTCCCCAGGCTAGCCCAAAGTGAGTTGCAATGTATGTTTTCAGGCCTGCAGGGACTTAGATTGTTGCTGAGAAGGAAGTTCAGCCTTCATAGTTCTTACTGTCTATGGCTGCCAACTAAAGGTTAGTGCTGGTGGGGAGTTTTTCAGAGTAGATTCTCGACCACTAGGAACTAGGCCTATGGTGAGCAATAACCGGCCCACAAGCCAGATGCGCTTTGCCAGCATTAGCCACTGGCAGGCTGCCACCACTTTATTGTGCCTCCATAGGTGCGGGTGCTTGTAGCCCCCACTGGGCACGGATCACTGTTCCCAGCCAATGGCAGCTGGGAGAAGTGATGTCCTGGTCTGTGCTGCTTCCCACACCTCCCATTGGCCAGGAGCAGCAATCCACGGTCAACAGGAGCGGCAATCTCCCATCCCTGTGGAGGCGCAGGTGAACAAAGTGGTGGTTGTCTGCCAGGGGCTAATCTTGGAGAATCGCCTCCATCATATTGCCCACCTCTGGAGTAGACTGATCACATGAATGGACTTGTTTTTCTAATGCATTTCCAGGTTTCTTACAGACATTGAAATATTATATATTTCAGAACGACAGTTCTCCAGAGATGTTCAGGATGCTTTTTCAACCAAGGATATTCAGAGAAACATCTAGGCCCTTGTGATTCTCTTACCACATATTATAACCTCACAACCTATGCCCCTGGGAGCTTCTTTTGACCTGGCCCTGGCATTGTTTTTATGTACAGTAGCATGGACAGATTCAATGACAAATGTACGAGGTAATGTTGCATCACCTCCCATCTTTCCCAATTGTTTTACAATAAAAAACAAAGCATTACAATGCGTCACACCATTACATTGTCATGTTTTCACTGGTGCTATCATTGCACGGTCCATAAATTCCTGCCATAAAAAAGAATTTACTAAACTGTCTACACAGAGAATGTTAAATTCAATGTGTTGCCTTCCATTTCATCTCAATTAGCAGCAGCTAAATGGTTGGCACCAATTCCGCTTCGTTATTTGCACTGCCTGTCGAATAGCCTGATTTACATCAATGGCACCCGCACAGAATCTTAGTTAATTGAGCCTTCAATAGTGAAACAGCACCTCATTGTCCCAGCAAAACAAACACATGGTTATGGGATTTTAAGTAAAACTTTCAAAGCTACAAATGATGCCTGGTGTATCAAGCTGTGAAGCTGTTTCCTATTCCAAACCACCTTCAATAATACACACACAGAGCTCATTCTTTTGCGAGGGGAACACCTGCATTTCCCAAGGTGACGGCAAAGAAATGAATGCCACATGTGGTTTAGCTTTTATTGGCTGCTGATTGGGCAATAAGAAACCTGTTCCACAGACAGCCTTGCTGTACCGCTGAATAGGAAACATTCACTCCTGAGAAGTGGTGCTTTTTCTTTTTTAGGAAGTGTAGTCCCCTTACTAAAGGGGCCTCTGTTTATTCTGAAAAGACCCTGTGTGCTACAATCTAGACTACAATTCCCATGAGCCCTTGGGAAAAAACAGGAAGGGAGGACTCTGGGGGGAGAGAGGTCTGCTCTCTCCATGTGCTTGAAGAAGAGGCCTAGCAGTCTGGGACTCTGCCTTGGAGTTTGGAACCAGAGGGGGAGCCAGGCTGCTGCCAAGGACATTGACCCAATGCAGGGGTTGTTGGAGTGCAGCTACTGGATGCCTGTTGGAACTGGGAGTTAGCAGGCTGCTTCCTATAGGCACAGCATGAGGCAGTAAGTTTGAGCCTTGTTGGAAAAGTGCTGCCTGGGTCAGAGCTGCTGTTTAGCCTGGACCAAATCCTCACTACAGCTGCAACATCAGCGCGCCAACGCAAGCGTCTGGGACTGAGTCTAAGGGTGTGCACACTCTGGGGTGGGGTCACTGTTGTCTAGCTATATAAGCTTCAATTATTGATATGTTTTGTAAATGCTATTCACTCCAAATTCTGTTAATCCCTGTTTATTTAAGTTAAGTAAAGATTGTTTATTTTAAAGTGTTCCATTAGATGTATATGATTTGTAGTTGTTCTGGAATTAGATCTAGCTTTATGTTGGAATGAGTATATTCCTGGAGGCTCTCAAGGCACACCAGTGTGTGTACAAGGCCAGCCAGGTGGAGGCACCGCCATTTTACATTCATTGCCAGCAAGGGACTGCAGCAAGGGGATGGATAGGGCTTTTCCCAACTAAACACCATCACCACTGGGGTGCTCAGGATCTCTTTTGGGTTAAAACACCAGGTGCCCAGGCACACCTGTGAGTGTGACCTGCTCCCCAGTAACCCAGGGAGGAAAAAGGGGGTTACAGAAGGTTTAAGCATATGGAGAAATTCACTCCTTTATAGGTTCCACTTTAGTCCCACTTATACCCAGAGGGACTGAGGAACAGCTTCCCAGTTTGACACCAGGGGTGAAATTCTGTCCCCAATGAAGTCAATGGCAAAACTCTCAGCACATTAAGTGGAGCTAGGATTTCACCCTAACTGCCAGAAAGCTTAGATGGGATTTAAATATTCTTTCCTAGTCTTTGCAGAAGGGTGAATTTTTCCCAAGGTGCACAAAATACAGCCTCACGTAAATATCATATGCATATATCAACATGGTTATTTGTTACTACATGGCTGTGTCTAGACTGCATCCCTTTTCCGTAAAAGGGATGCAAATTAGACACATCACAATTGCAAATGAAGCGGGGATTGAAATCCCCCCCGCTTCATTTGTATAAACATGGTTGCCACTTTTTTTTCCGGCTCGGAGCTTTGCCAGAAAAAAGCACCAGTCTAGACGGGGATCTTTCGGAAAATAAAGCCTTTTCTGAAAGATCCTTTATTCCTCTTAAAATAAGGAATAAGGGATCTTTCGGAAAAGGTTTTATTTTCCAAAAGATCCGCATCTAGACTGGCACTTTTTTCCGGCAAAGCTCCGAGCCGGAAAAAAGTGGCAGCCCTTTTTTTTTAAACATAGTTGACAGCCCATGTGTGTCTAGAACCTCAGCCATGCTGGAGCCCCATTGTGGGAGGCAATCAGCATTGCCAACCCCAAGCTTTCAACAATCCTGGGACTCACTTAAAATAATGAGATTTCAACAAACAGATTTTGGAGTTTTATTATTTGCCTTCTGGTTTTGACCTCTTAGGCTGCATTTAGGTCACACTGGGATGGTTTATTCTGCAGCCATGAGAGCTAGAAACTTGCTTTTAGAAATTGAAGGTATGTCTCTCACATATTCTGATGACTCCAGAAGCTAGGGCGAGGGAGGCTTTAAGG